CTCTAAAAAGAGCCAAACTTCCAATCACTGCTGAGACCATGCAAAACAGAAAACACATCCACGCTCTCTCACCTTCAGGGGGCAGTGTGATAACTTTGTCTGCTCTGATGATCTGACCGCTCTCCAGCTGCAGGACGCAGGTGTAGTTCCCCGTTACATTGGCGGTGATGGGTAAGGGCAGAGTGGTGCTGATGCTGCCGATGAGTCCGGTATGAAACTTCAGCTGCCTGCTTTTATCTTGGTATTCCCACTTTACCCTCTGAACTTGGGACAACTCTGAGTACTGGCACAATAACTCCAGGTTTGAGGTGTACTTTCTGATCTGAACTGCAGATGGGGGGTGGGGGTGTTGGAAGGGAAATGTGAACAAATAAAGAGAAAACCAGAGGAAAGAAGGATGAGTTAGGGATGAATAGCAGTCAGGAGGGAAGGGGAAAAGGAGCGAGACAAAATGAGAAAGTGAGTTAAAGGGTAGTGTGTGAATTTAGAAACGGTCAAGAACAGATAGAGAGTAATGAGTGAAAAGGGGATGAAAAAAACACAAAGAACAATTCAGAGAAGGGTCAAAATAATATGTATTCATTAAAGTGATTTACTGCTAATGCATTGGTTGACTGTGACTGATGCTCGGTGTCTCATCAAACCGTAATGAGAATCCATCTGGGTGTAATCAAGCTCCACAGATCCCCACCTCACACACGTGCATAAAAACACACACTTCAGCCTTGATTAGTGCGATCTGCGTGGGCCACCCACAGCCTCAGTGGAAGGGCAGCAGGTATAATCACACATAATGATACTTCTAATGAGGCGGGGTAAAAATATATGCGTCACATGATTGGTGAGTGGGCGGAGGTGTGTGAGCGGTGCGTAAATGGGTGCAGATATGTGAAGCAGGATGGCAGTGACGGATCGACCGGTCATGTCTGGGCAGCTGTGATGGATGCTGGTGGGGCTGTGATTAGTAAAGCCTTCCAAGGCCGGAATGACAGGCCGTTGTATGAGAGTGTGTGTTGTTTTTTTCCTCAAATATAATCTGCAAAAAAGGGGTGAAAATGCCCCCAAAGGCACACTAATAAAAATCAACAGGTGCCGAGCTCGATTTTTCTTTGTCTTTGAATTCACAAGTGGAATAATTTTCTCTTTCAGGAGCAATACAGCTGCTGTATTCATTTAATATTGTGACATTTTAGCCATGGCTCCAGGAAATTTTCTTTGTATTTATTTTCCTCAGCCAGAGCGGGTGAATGAGGCACTAAAGCCAGAAAGAATTTAATGTCTCGCTCAAGGACAGTTCAGGAGGGTAAATGATTGCTGAAACACCTCAAGAGACAGGTGCTCCGGTTCGAGGGTGGTCTCTCTAAATATAATTACCTCTGTGGCTAATTTTTAACTACCCCGAAGAGACTTTAACAAAAATAGTTTTACGTTTTTTTGGGGAGAGAATGTGCTCCGTCACCTGCTGCAGAAAGTAAATACGAGGATAAATACTCTGCTCATATTCACTGTGTATTCACCCTGAGAGAGGAGGCAGTTCAATTAAAAATGCATATCAGGGGTGAGCTGCATAAAAATGGTTAAATATTAGTAGTATATTAAAAAATTTAAAGACAATTATACAGTTTAACTATGTTTAAGCATTCATTGATCTTTGGAGGTCTGTTTGTGTTTGACAGGCAACCATCAAAGGTTCTAGAGTGACCCTGTTTTACCCTCAAAAGTCTTATTTGAACCAAATTCAAAATGATCTTAGCACAAAAGTAAATAAACTTGTGTTTGACTGATTTTTTTCTTTAAAATACCGATGTTACTTACCAACAAATTCTGTATTGTTGGAAAGTCTGTTTATTTAACCTTAAATGTTGCCACATTTGTTGGGAAAATGCATTGAAGTCTGAAGAAACAAGGTATCCCTATTAGGAGGTGGTACCAACAAAAGTTTAAAATTGCTCAGTCAAAGATCACAAAAAGCTTTACAGATGTGGACATAACTGTTGATACCCCTCTGTTAGTCATCCCAGACCATTGTGGTGTTTTCAGGTACTAACCAACAATTTTGTCCATATTTGTAYGTTGCTTCCTTTGTTTGACACCTAAGACGTTGAGTAGACATCCTCGGCATCATTTAACCGAAAAGTAGATGCTTCAGATGAATCCAAAAAGGCTCAAACCCCTACTTCCTAGTTTTACTCCACCTCCTTCATGTTTTTCGTTACCTTTCAGCACACTGAGTTTTGTACTCTGGTAGAAGACGTTGTCATTGAGGAAAACAATACAGCCGAAGACGCCACCATCTGCTAGGACAGGGGTCAACAGGAAGGAAAAGCTCCCGGCATCTGCGCTGTAGGGTGGGCCAGCCAAATGGATTCTACCACTCGTCKTCTGGGTGGATCCCCTCCAGCGATCGTAACTGTACACCAACTTATTGATGCTCTTTTTGTTGCTGAACTGCGGGGCGGTCCAGTACAGCTGGACAAGGTCGCCTTGGACATTGGGACAGGCCAGATGGATGGGTTTTAGAGCCTGAACGCCGGTGTGGATCATGTGGTCTGCAGGCAGAGACGGAGACGGGTGTGAGGATATTATCAGTGCAAGAAGGCAAACTGATTTATCAGCAAAAAAAGATAATAAACCAAGAGTGAGGTTAAGATTGAGAGTCAACTGAAGGAGTAATGAAGAGTGAGGAAGATTTTCTGCAGCAAGGAGGATTAAGTTTTTATATGCAGAGAGTGACCTCTGACCCCACGCTCCACCTGATTAGCAAGTTGCTGACAAAAGATTTTCAGACTGCTGATTTTAAAATGGCTTACCTTGTTGTGCATTGAAGAATGAGGCCAATTTGTCAGCTGTGTGAGAAAAGAAGAGCAAAAAAATGGAAAAGAGTGGAACAAATAATGAATAATACATAAATGTAGCAACTGTAATATTCACAGGAGGACAAGCTGAATTCCAGTGCAGATCTACAATAAGTTTTTGAATCTCAAAAGTAGTCTATAAAAATAAATACTTTAAAGAAAAGTAGCTGCAGGACTCTTGAATAAATAATGCTTCTGCTGGAGTTTCTGGCTTTGATGCCCACTCACATCATGAACAAAAACAACAACAATTGTACTCTGTTCCTCCGTGCTTCTTATATATAAATATATATATTTMCTATACATMTTTTCCTCCAGCTGCTCTCACCATCAACAGTCACGTTCACATTTACAGCCAACACGTTGGTGCTATTTCCCCAGGGGTATACGGTACAGATGTAAGTCCCGCTGTCATTTCTTTGGACATGTGGCACTTTGGTCACTGTGCCCGTGTTTGGCTTCCTCTCAGTCTTCATAGGAAGGCCGCCAGGTCCTGTCCAGGTGATTTTGGAAATGGCGAGGTCAGGTATGACTCGGCCAACGAGCCGCAGGACACTGCTATGTTTGACAGGCGGATCTGGGTAAAAGCTGACTGGAAGAAAATAAAATAAATTCAGTTTTAAGAGTAAATAAGCTAAATGATGAGCTCAAAATTATAAAAACAACTAAAACAAAAAAGTACATTTTAGTGTTGAACATCAACTAAAAAAAACAATTTCAATGATAAAAAATTGATTTACTTCTAGGGGAAATGTGCATTTCAATCCTTTTTCACATTTAAATCATCAAYTGGGGTCTATATTAAGTGGAACTGCAGTGCTTTGGTCTGAATTCCTCTTTATTGTAACTCCACAAGCCCCTCTTTCACTCCTTTCCTGAGTTGCATCTGAGAACAACTCGTTTTGGCATTGCCTCTTTAAAAGCAAATGAGGCCCTTCACTCCCCACCCCCCTCCACTCATTTGGTCATTTTTATAGTTTGATAGCAGAGATATAATTATCAAGTAGTGCAGAAACTTTTTTTAAATCAATGAAAAGTCGTCGACAATGGAAGACTTTTCCACCCAGCCTACCACAATGAATTTTAACTCGGTATCTSTAATTGTAACTCAATGGTCATTTTTATGTCTGTAAGGTTGATTWTCGGTGGTGACCATTTTAATGAAGTTGACTCCAAAAGTCAAAAATAAAAATTTAAACTCAAATCTTGAGTGATCCATTGGTGCTCAGACTATGAGTTWGTGATGACTCTCAGTTACTRCACAAATAYTAAYCAAATTTCTTTAAAAATGACCRAGTTATAGACMTTTTTGTGTTTGTCTACAGTTTATYAGTTGTTGCAGCAGCAGTATTTTGAATGTTGCTGGATTCAAGAGATATTTCACTGAAATACAGATAAATGAACACACATATGCTCATRGGTAAATATCTAACCATGTTACAGTTTGTGGGGGTTCTTGGTGTTTTAGTTTGCATAATTTATTATTTTTCCAGTTTAGTGTTTCTTTGTCCCTTATTTTTCAGTATATTTGAGCTATTTTACATAATGTTTCATGGTTATAACAATCTTTTAACTTGTTTAGACCAGCATTTGTAGATCCTCCTGTTGATCATTAGCTATCCTCCCAGCTCTTCTCTCTTCACCAATCACCCACCCAGAGTAAAGAAGCTCCTAGTTTTACTCAGTCTTCTTTAAAAAGCTTATATGAAAGTTTTAGTTCCCATGTGTAGTTTCAGTCTCTGTATGTTTGGTTTGTCTTTTTCATCKATCAAATATTTTTGGTATTAACCTGCACTATTGGGTCCAGTCCAGCAACTGTGAAATCTTACCAGCCACACACCTTTCATTTATTCAYTTGACAAGGTCACAAATACCCACAAAACTGGAAAGAAATCCAGTATTTTCATTTGAAATTTTGGGGGAGTAAAAACTCAAACACAACTACCAGAKAAAATATACAGGTACTGTAAAATTCTTCCAAAGTCTTAACTTTTTTCCACTACAATCAGCATAAGAGATGTGTGCTTGAGGCAGAAATCAATTTTTTTAAGATTGATTTTTTTGCACCAAACAAACAAGTGGCCATTCAGTAAAGACTTTAAAATTATATGATATTCCATCAGAAATATGTATGTGTAATTTAAAACACAAGCACCAAAAAGAACATTTTAAGTAACAAAAACTACAGCAGACAATGACAGAATGGAGTGGAGTGAAATTGTGCTTTTTATCTTCAATCATCATAAATATGCATGGAAAAAAGAAACTTTAAAGTAGAATTTCTTTTTTAAAGTGTTTGCAAAGCAGAAAAACTTAGAAAAAGGTTGAATTTTTTGGATGCTTGTCTCACAAAATAAAACAAATACATCTTTAACATTTAGATGTTCTGTTATCAGGATGTAAATCCTTGATAGATTAGTATTTATGATGACTGCTCCAGTGTCCAAATAATTACACTTTGATGTATTTTTTATGTTTTTTTTGTGTTGTTTTTGATTTTATGTGATGTGGATTTTTTTTTTATTTTGTGTGTGCACATTTATTCATCACAGAACATTCTTCTGAAAAAAGGGTTTAAGTCTCAGGAGTCTTATTTCCTGGTTAAATAAAGGTCTAAACTTTCTACATGAACTTAGTTATTATAATCAACGCAGGATGAAACAATTACATGTGCCTGGGGCAAAGATAATGTTTTGCAGGTTCTCATTATTTTTGCAAAACAAATCACCAGCTATTAGTTACATAACTATTTATAATTGGATGCATGAGAATGAACGGTGGTTTTAAAAGAGAAAAAGATCAGTAAGAAACAACAAAACAAGATAAAAAAAAACAAGATCAAAACAAGATCAAGAAAGGACAAAACAACAAACATGCCAGCAAATTTAAAATCAACTGAAGTTTCTCTTTTTCCTCAAAGGTGTGTTATTAAAAAGGCTGCATTTTTCATCTGTATTGAACAAAAATAATGTTCAGAGAGAGTAACAAATATTCGAGGATGTCATTCTTTGCAATTTTTGGAAAATGATTTGAGTCATTTTACATAAACAAGTAAAAAAAAACATTGCTGACGATATACTTATTGTGCACCATTTATTTATACCTTTTAGGACTGCTAGGAGGAAGGTCTTCTCCCTCAGTTTGCTCTCCTGTTGCTGTATTCGACACGAGTAGAGACCACCGTCCTCCACCCTGGGTGAGAGGAACAGCGAAAAATCCCCGGTGCTTGGAAAGTTGCTGTCAGTCATCAGCATGTGTTCCTTCATGGCTTCTCCAGAGAACTTCTTCTTTTCACTGACTGAGAAAAGAAGTTTCCACTCACCCACATTGCCTAACTTCACCATCCAGTTCACGGACATGTTCCCTCTCAGTGGTGGACCGGTGCAGCCTAAAGAGGTCTGTGACTTCTCTTCAACCAGAATAACATTGTGCTTTTCTACAAAAGAGAGAGGAAATAAAAGGCATAATTTAAAAATGTTAATTATTGAAACAAGACTCGTGATCAAAGGTCTAAACATGCTCATCACTTCAGCCAAAATGAATAAAAATTTAGGAATTTGATTTTAAGTCAACCTATTTCACGTTTAGAAAAACATAATAAGTTAGGCTAAGTTTGCTTTTAGTCAATCAAATGTAATATTGTGCAAACTTATCTCCATCCATCCATCCATCCATCCATCCATCCATCCATCCATCCATCCATCCATCCATCCATCCATCCATCCATCCATCCATCCATCCA